CCATGATGCATGATTAACAATAAAAGAAAAGAAGAACAACATAAGTCCATATGTATAATCGTTACGGCTGCATCTGCAGAAGATGCAGATCATAATATTCAATATTAGAATTATTGAACTCCTAGTAGCTTTTCATGGCAGTTGTAATCAGTTTTAAGTACTCTTTCCGAAGCTCTTCTTAGGTTTTGTCTAATGCAAAATACAAGTCTCAAAGTCAGTTTGAGTCGATCGAGAAAAACTAAAAAATGAAAATTTTCGATCAATTCCAAAATCTTTATTTTGTATCTCATAGATTTCTACTACAGTATCGAATAGAACAAAACAAAACTGATCATAGTTGATATAAACAATTCACAAGAACTATATTCTTAATAAGAAAAAAAGTGTCATCTTTAAAATCACATTCTAGGAATTGGTGCGTCCCTACTTACAAATGTTTAAAACGTTCGTCAGAAATCGTGGAATCGAACGTTTTTACTTTTAACGCTAATTGCTGTCTACTCTGAATACGTAGAAAAATAGAAAATCCAGATTCCTCAGCTTTCTCTTTCCAAGTTTGAACTCACTATCTTCTTTTTTTAGTCGACATAATGCAAGTTAAAACAAGAAAAAGCACTAAAATATTTATCTTGCTAACAAGCCATTTTTAGCAGTTTTAAAAACAGTTGAGTTTCCAGTACTTTTCATTCGATCACAACAAGTTTCAACATTTGTGCTGATGCTTATAGATCGTAGGGTAGTTAAAAATCAAAATTGTTTAAAATTATATTTTATAAAAAAATAATAAATAAATAAATCCAAAAAGGATACAATTCACATTAGAGAATTTTTGTTCAGATGTAATAAACCACAAACTTTATACTGAATCCAATGATTGCTCATATAAAATTTTAGTTTGTTGAAACATAATAAAATACGAATATAAAGTCCATCAACGATTCTAAATGAATAACATAATTGAATGCTTCAATTTATCTTAATTAAAATATTTTCTTGTCTAATCATCTTCTGATGATGAAAAGTTTAAAATTATTGCTCATGAACTAGAAGAATCAAGTAAAGAATATTAATCGCATAATGAAACGACCGGAAAACTTACTTTGAATTTCACGAATAGATTCTGTTTGATAGAAACAATCTATCGAATATGCGATATTATTTTAATTGATACAAATAAGTTAAAGAATCAAGATTGATTAACGGATATTATGTTCATTTCGAATTTATTTTGCTGTTTTATTAACAATTCAATGAAAATCTAGAATTGAATTAGATTTGAAAATGAATACTGAGTTGATTAACATACCAGTAAAATCAAGTTGACTGGATGAAGAAATAACAAAATAGCACGAAAATCAGATGTCGACTTCGGTTCATTTAACAAAAAAGACAGAAAAATCGGGGTGGAGAGGGAGGTTGAAGGTTTAGAGAAAATCATTGAGCTTTAGTAGAATGGCTATCACTTTTTTATTTTAAATAAAAGATTTTCTTCATAAGATACCTACCTGGTTTCACATTCTATCGATTGGTGCAAAAAAACTTCTCACAGTCTTCTATACACTGATATCATTAGAGTAAATGTATAATCTCAGCCATTTTTTAAATATATTCTTTAAAACCTAATTTTTGAGCAATTGGCACTGTTTTTTTTGTAGTTTTTTTACCGATCAACAGCGAAAAGTCTTCTACATCGCTCTAAACTAATATTAAGGTTATAAGTCAAGACAGTATTTTTTTAAAAGCTTGAAAAAAACGCTTCCAAAAAAATGCTGCATACAATTATCCCACATGAGGAATTGTATAGTCGTCATTGCGCTTGTGCGGTAAATGTATAATCTCAGTAGATTTTGCTAGACACACTAAAACTCAAGTTTTAGCAGATTCATAAGAGATTCTGAGACACTTCCCCAAGAGTAAAATTGTTCAGAATGATGAGCTTCATAATTGTAAAGCATTTCAAATATCGATTTCAGATTTTCATATGTATTTTTGTCTGTTATACGTGAATGAACAGTGACATTAAACCTTGCAATGAATATTTTTCAAGTGAATTTCATCAAAATTATGATTGATATAATTATTTACAAATTATCAAAAGAAGTTAAAAAATATTTTTGTTCATTCTTATGCTCTGATTTAAGACAAAACTTTTCCTCTTGTGATTTGCTACAACTTTTAATTAGTTGAATTGTTGACTCCGTTTCGATTTTATTAAATGAATTTGATCAAGTTGAAAAATGACATATATGCGAATTACTGTTGTTTAAAAAACAATCTATAATGATGATCTGTTATACCTTATGATAACTTTAAGTTTGCATTTAAGACGATTGCCATATCGCTTCACTAATACTGCTTGAATAAGAAAAATAGTTTTGGAAAAATCTTTTCTATAGAAAAAAAATTAGATCTCTTCATTGTAAAATATAGATAAATGTATTCGAAGAAGAAGATCGTACACATAACTGTCTACTCTACTAAAGTCCGCAGTCATATCGGCATTATTGATAAATTTAAGCAAACTATATTACAAATTTCATGTTAGGACTTCAAGTTTATTGACGCTAGCATTTCAAATTACAGATTTCTTTAATTTATGATTTGCTGTCTTCATTTGACGGTGTTTTCGAAATAAGAATGAAGATATTTCGGGTGGTGCGATGTTCGCCAATAAGACTTTCGCCAATAAGACATTCGCCAATGGCGAAAGTCTCGAGGATATATTGGCGAACGTGCAGTAAACTTTCGCCAATTGGCTAAGTTTCAGGGAATGTATTTGCGAAAGTACAGTGGATTTTCGCCAATTGGCAAAGTTCCAGAGAATGTATTGGCGCAAGTGAGGTGGACTATCTCAGTTGTCGCGGAACAATATTAATATAGGATATATGTCAGCACTGAAGTTAATGTTATTAGAATATATATCATAGTTTACACTCATCGATGTAGGTGAGAAAAAGTTTTTTAGTGTATGTCTAATTTACAATGAAATTGCTGAAAGCACACTGTACCTTCGTCAATTGGCGACAGTCCGGGGGTATATTGGCGAAAGTTCGCCGTACTTTCGCCAATTGGCAAAACTCCACGAAATGTATTGGCGAAAGTCTTATTGGCGAAATTCCGGAATCTCGGTATTTCAATCGGTAAAACTACAAATATCAATCAAAACTATTCTACACTTAATGTCCATTTCACAGTTAAGTGAACATGGGTATTCTTTAATAACCTTAAAACAAAAAGAGAGACAAAAGTTGAGTTTTTAGCACTATCAAGACTTGACATTGTTCTATCCTTTTACAAAGTTAAAGAAAAATTCCAGTCACTTTTCTTCTGAGATACATCCTTAGTTTTAAAGGGTGTGGGTGTGGGTGTGGGGTGTGGGTGTGGGGTGTGGGGTGTGGGTGTGGGTGTGGGCGTGGATGTGAGTATGAAAAACAAGATCCACACCCATACCCACACCTACACCCACACCCGCATCCACACGTACACCCACACCCCACACCCACGCCCCACACCCACACACCCACTCCCGCTCCCACCCCTCACCCACACCTACACCTACACCTACATCCACACGTACACCCACACCTCACACCTCACACCCACCCTCCACCACTGGTGGGCCCCACTGTAGCGGGTGTACCATAATGAATGACCAGCTTTTGTGTTTATTTATTTTTATCATCTAGTACGTTTATTTTAAAAACAAAATATGCCATAACATGCAGCGTGAAAAGCTTTACAATATAGATAATACCGCTGATTTTATAGTTGCACTCTTTGTTTTCGAAATGAGCAAAATTCTGCGTGACCAATTTTCAACCTTACGACAATTGATCGCACAGAAACTTGATTTTTTTTAAACCAAAAAAAGTGCACAATTAAAATAGGCCTTTGTAGATCGTAGAGCTTTTCACGCTGCATCTTCTATATATATGAATTTTTTTAAAGAAAACATTAGGTGATAAAAGGAGGAAATAAGAAAGAAGAAAATTCTCGTTCTTGTAGAATAAATGAAGTTTTCGCAAAGGTGAAAATTGGTCGCACAGAATTTTGCTCATTTTGAAAACAAAAAGTGCAACTGTAAAATACGCGATATTATCTATATTGTAAAGCTTTTCACGCTGCATCTTATGGCATATTTTGTTTTTAAAATAAACGTACTAGATGATAAAAATAAATAAATACAAAAACTGGCCATTCATTATGGTACACCCACTATAGTGGGACCCACCGGTGGGTCCTATCGCTGTGAAAGGGTTAATAATCTGTCGTTCATGAATTTATGACTAGACAGACATTTTTCGTTATATTTGTTAGCTCAAATCCTTTTTTACGCTAGATAAATGGCAGCTGGTTATGTCGAGATAATGCTTCGTGGAATTCTGATGGATTTTTCTTTTTCAAATGCTGTCTGAAAAATAATTTTACTTGAAAGTTTTGCGAAAACTGTTGCAAAAATTTTTAATGAGCGTTCGGACGTCTGGATGCCGCTGACCTTCCTCCCCTCTATCCAGATCAGGTGCCCGATTATGGGGCGGGGCGATGGAGGTGCTTACCTACCAAATTTGGAGACTTTTTGCCAAAAATTTGAAATAGTTTCTGCGAAATTTTGCAGAGTTTCTGGAAAAAATTTGGATAGGTACATGAATTTGGGGACGATACTGTGGACCACAGAAGTCTGTGAGCATTGTCCTGTGTGACTGTGCCATGAGCGTCCGAAGACACCCATCTGTGCTATGGAAAAAGTCTTCAGATTGGAGTTTTCGGGATCTCTGAAGCCAAAACCGATTTTTGGGAAATGAAAGTTTAGGGAAGAGAGGAAAAAATTTTGCAGAAAATGTACATTTTACCATTTTTCTTGTGTTTTCCGTAAAGTTGGATGAAAGTACTTTCTGCCAGACTTTGTCCTCCCCTAACCATAAATCGATCAGAAATACTGGTCCGAACTTGTCCGATTTTTGATAATCCCCCCCCCCCCCCCCTCTGATCAGATATCCTTTATGGATGATCCTTTAGAAGAGTTACATCGTATAGGAGATAAAGCAATTGGTAATTTAAGGTCAGCAGAATTTTCCCAGGAGTTTGCAAATGTAGAAAATTTAAAAAAGAAAATAACAAGCATACAACTTTATCAGGACGTGACAATAGGCCACATGATTAAAAATTTGCCGCCAGATCAATTAAATAAATTAAATAATGGCGCTGAACGTTCTCATTATCGTAAAAGAAATATTCAGGTGAATAGTAATAAAAAAAATGATAAAATAATTCGACATTTTATTTAAAATATTATTATTAAGCTGTTACTTTTTTTTCAATAGATAGGCGTGCCATGTTCTTTAAATGCTTTTTATACTTATAATAATGCACAAGAACTAATTCATTCAACATCAGCAGAACAATTTGGTCATAAAATATTTCCACAATTATTTAATGACAATCAAAGTATTGAAAAAAAGTTTTCTATTCTCTACTTTTTTTCTTTTATATAGACAATACAACAATACCACATGTTGAAATTACTGATCCATTATCAAATCCTTGGTTACGTGGTGCTCGTGTTATTAAAGCAGCTGCACATCCTGCTCAAAGACAACAACAACCTTTTAGTTCGAGAAATACTGAACAACAAGAAGCTTCTATTTCGACAAATACTGAACAACAACAAAACCAAGCAGTTGCAACAGTTCCAGCTAATACTGGTATTTGTTCAGCGTCAATGCAAAATTAAGAAGCACCTGAAGGTGTGGGTGTTGGTGTGGGTGTGGATGTGAGTATGAAAAACAAGATCCACACCCATATCCGCACCCACGCCCACACCCACCCACACCCACACCTACCCACACCCACCCACGCCCACACCCACCCACGCCCACCCACACCCACACCTACCCACACCCACCCACACCCACACCCCCACAGCCACACACCCACACCCACACCCACATCCACACCCACACCCTTCTCTTTTTTGGTCTTAAGTCTTGTATTAGATTATGGATTTAAATTATGAATTTAAATTATGAATTTAGATATGATTATGGAATATGGATTTAACTAGTTATTGTTGTATTTGGATATTATACTGATGATGACCGCTTTCACCAGCTTGTTACTAACAGTCAATGGTCGAAAATTCTATTTATTACTGTTACAATTAAATAAATAATAGAAAAAATTAGAAAAAAGAAAAATTTTTCATTATGACTGCATTTCTCTTTATATATTGAAATAAAACTCGGTTTTCTCAAGTTATACTTATATTATCTTTAAATTCTTGTCGGTTCACCGATTTCAATTCAGAAAATCATTTTGATAAAAATACCAATAAAATAAGATTTGAAGAGAGCTAACTGAATATATTGATTCATTATCATTAAAATAAATTCAATGTATGTCTCTTGATGATGTTTTTAGTACCAAAAAAGAAATTTGAAGGTTAATAAAACATATCACAAAATCGAAGGATAAGTAAAAACTTATAGAAGGAAATATTTGTTAACTGCTCAGATTTTAAAGAAATTTGATGAGTAGTCTTCAGTATAATCTTTACATTTTTAGAACGGAAATAGTTAGCGAGTTTGGCCTTGTATGGATCGATAGAGGAGAAGCCAGACTATCTGTCCATTATATTATAGTTGAGAAGGCACATTGTTTTCAAAAACGATTAGGATCATCTTTAAAACTAAGGATGTATCTCAGAAGAAAAGTGACTGGAATTTTTCTTTAACTTTGTAAAAGGATGGAACAATGTCAAGTCTTGATAGTGCTAAAAACTCAACTTCTATCCCTCTTTTTGTTGTAAAGCTATTGAAAAAATGTTCATGTCCACTTAACTCTGAAATGAACATTAGTGGTAGATTCTACTGTGAACGAATTCTATCAATACTAATCAAATCTCAACATCAGCAACTGACTTAAATAGGTCTGACAAAAAAAAATTAATTTTCCTTTGTTTCCAGTTATTTAGTTATTGAGGAGGTTAAATGTTGCTAGTGGCAGGTTTTATTCTGTCGAACAAAGAATGCTATTGGACATTGTACTAAGATGTTATGATACATTGACTGTATTATTCTAAGAGCATATATTATCAATGACGGCCTCTTTTTTTGTTTTTTACGGAATAACATCTGTTTCTTTCTCATTCTACGGGTGTGCAATTAATGAAAATCGTTTACTAATGATGTATCTAATAAAAATGAATAAAAGTTAAAGGTTGTTGGTGAGACTGCCAAAAAATATGACTTTTTTGAAGGACATAATAGAAGACCTCCCGTTATAACTTGTGTACGATAAGACAGAATAGAAGACTCCGAGTCTTCTAATGTGTCGATGGTTTTGCTTATTATTGAGTCATTAAAAATATACTCACGATATATAAATAACTTGCTAATTAGAAATGTTTGTCAGGGTCTGGAATGGGGAATGTGATGGCACAACTGTCACTGATGTTTTCTTTTGATACTTATTATGTATGTGCATTTGTTTCGTTCTGTAATTTCGCTCCTTCTCTTGTTGTCCGCACTTTATATTTTGGTGTTGATATAATTTTCGTTTTTCATTAGTTACATTCACTTTTATTGATATTTTTCTCTTCATTCACTTTTATTCTCCTTCTTCTCTCACATTCTCCACTGTCTTCGCTCGTTACCTTATCTGTCTGATTATTAAATATATCGTTGGGACCAGTGTTTTATCCAGGATTTTTTGGTATGCTAAATCTCAGCTTCAGAGCATGGGATTCAGATGAGACTTATGGAGGATGATATTGGAGCTAAATAATGAGGTTTTATGAAAAAATTTTTGTGATTGGAGTTTGCGAAAAGAAAATAATTTTTTTGCTTGCCCCCTCCCGGGAAATTTGTTTTGCTGTTTGTAGTATTCCATTTTTTAGAATGCCATAATCAGCTACATGGAATTTCACCGACAGATTTCAAATTTCATCGAAAAATAAGCATCCGTTCAGGAGTTATAACGTTTTGAAATCTTGCTAAAATTTTTGCAGCATCTGAAAAACTTTCAAAACGTTATAACTCCTGAACGGATGCTTATTTTTCGATGAAATTTGAAATCTGTCGGTGAAATTCCATGTAGCTGATTATGGCATTCTAAAAAATGGAATACTACAAACAGCAAAACAAATTTCCCGGGAGGGGGCAAGCAAAAAAATTATTTTCTTTTCGCAAACTCCAATCACAAAAATTTTTTCATAAAACCTCATCATTTAGCTCCAATATCATCCTCCATAAGTCTCATCTGGATCCCATGCTCTGAAGCTGAGGTTTAACATACCAAAAAATCCTGGATAAAACACTGGTTGGGCCTTTTTCACATTCAATTTTGATTTTCTCTCATTCTTGCCATTTGCCATGATTATCATTGTGGCACCTGGCATATTGAACAATTGTACTTCATACAAGATTCACGACGTAACAAAGAGGCGGGAGAACGGATCCAAATTTTCATCCTATATATTTCAACATTCCTTTTATATCTTGTTTCACAAAATGACTAAGATTAAAACATTTACCACAATGACATCAGCGCGATGATACGTTGGATCCAAATGGGATAAATATATACTTGAACAGTAATGCTCAAAGAACACTTTTAGATGGATGTACTCAAAAGGTTGTGAGAAATTTTTTTCATTAATCGATAGGATATGAAACCAGACAGATATCTTATGAAGAAATTTCTTTTTTAAATGAAAAATGAAAATATTATAACCATGTTATTGGAGCCCATTGATTTTCTCTATACATCGACGTTCCTCCCTCCTCTAGCTACTGTTTTTACGTTCATTTTTATACTGAATACGTTAGTTTAGAGAAGGTCAGATCAAAATATTGATTATTTACTCAATAGTAATACATTTATGGCTATTAGAAAAACTTAAAATCTTGCCAACAGTCTAAAAAATTCAGGAGAAATTATTTTCAAAAAAGAAATCTGTATAACTTGCTGGTACTTTTACAATGTCTTATTTGTCTAAAATTGTATAACTCTTATCATTGAAGAATTCTCATATGGTAGTTTTCTGTCAATAGTTTATCATAATTGATTATCTTTTTTAATTGTTTTTTTTTCATCAAAACTTAACAGGGGAGAAAACAAGACGAATAATAATCTGAATGAAAAATAAAAATGCACACCTCATGAATAAGTTCTTGTTTTAAAATACTATTTAATAACTAATCAATGTCTAATATAAGTTAAATTATGAAAACAAAACTTATTTTCCTACAATCATCTTTAGTTGATATAAATCATCTTTTCACTTGTTTGTAATCTTTATTCAATAGTCTAAGAACAAATAAATGATTGTTTTGATTCTGTCAGCAAAAGAAATAGTTAAAGGTGGAAAAAGAAAAAGCGAATATAGGTCTGCTTGTTGATAATATATTTATTAATAGAAACAGAAAAAAAAGACGAAATTTCTCATTCTGTTGATTCTATTCTGTACTTCAAAATATTTCGTTCACATCAATCTCTATTGTCATGAAAACATCACATAGAACAAGTATTGTAGATGCGAAATAATTAAAAAAAAAATCTTAGTAAGATTTTATTACTTATTTGCGAATGCTAAATTATCCATTCTATTCCGCGTATAAATAATTACTTAGCTGTTTTAATATCAATATGTTGTCAGCTATATTTATCTACAACTAAAATAGTAAATATTTTCTAGTTATAAATTATAGTGATTGGTGTTTTGAAGTTTTGTGACCTTTAATATTACCAGGGAATATTTTTTGAAGTATGTTATATGATGTATTTTATCTTGGCAAGCACTTCAGACAATTTTTATTGATATAACGATAAAAGAACAAAATAAAAAACTGTCAGCAAGCATTTTAAAAATCCGCGAAAATCATATTTGCTAAACTATGATTCATAATGGAATGTGTCGAGTTCTTCATGTTATCGCACAACTGTTGTTTTAAAGGTGAATTTTTTTAAAAGGATTTTTACATGATACTTCGAAATAATTGAATTTATAATTAATTAATATAATTATAAGACTTTCTTACTTTCATTGGTTTTTACTGTTATCATTTGAATAGATCTGTGTGTTTTGTTTTCTTCCACCACAATTAATTGTGATATTGTCCTTGCTTAGTACTAATATTTGATATTGTCAATAAATATCTTTTATAATGTTGATGTAATGCAATTTTTTCTTTTAGTTCATAATATTCTATGGTATCATTAAAGCTTTGTATTCAAGAATTTTGCTTTTACTTACTTATTTTTGAACTAATTCAAATTAAATAATAGTTGTAATTTGTATGAAATATATAATTTAGGCCTCGTCGATCAAAAGATATTGACTGAAATTTTTCACTATTTATATCTAAAATACCTGTGAGTTTAAGAAACCTTTAGGGATATCAGGATGAGAGTTTATTGACATAAAATTAATTTTTGCATTCGAACTCAACAGAAAAATTAGTTCGCTATATTCGATAAGAAAAATTCTTTATGAAAAACAGATGTATAATCATAATTTACTGTATCAGATTTCTTTTTATTTCATACAAGATTTAAAAAAAACACAAAATTTCAAAAATAAAATATCAAATGAAAATATTCTTTTCTACAAGTTATTAATGCAAACATCTAAACTACATTCCAAAAGATGAATACTCTGTACATGATCATGTTTTTTTTTTCTATGACTTATTCAGATTAATGTTAATCTTGATTTAACGTTGATATTAAATATCGTTTCATTTCATCATCTAATATTGTTGCAATATTTTCAATTGTCTCTTTAGCATTATTTGTGGATACACTGGCCAATACACGTAATAAATTATTTCCTTTATTCTCAACTTGTTTAGCAAGTTTAGGTCGTTTCTTAGAAATTGCTTCACTTGATCTGATTTGATTTAATTCTGTAGGATTTAATAATAATATTTCATCGTGAGTAGGTTTTCGTTCGAAAAAATTACTCGTTCGTTTATTTAATTTAAATGCTGAATCAATATTTCTTTCTAGTATACGATTATCGTATAATGCGAATTGATTATTGAATTTGATAGGTGTCGATTTCTGTGTTGTGTTAGTTAAATTTCGTATATGAGAATGTTCGATATCTATTTTTCTTGTTCGATCACGTGCTAGTTCATTAAATTTGATTTCATCGGCTTCATTAAATTCTATAAATGATCGTTTATTGTTATTTGATGAATTAACATTTTTAAAAATAAAGTTTGTACCACAAGCCAGACATTTATTTGCTATAAAAGAAAAAACCTTGACAAAGATAAAACGAAGAAAGAAAGATAAAAAAAAATACTAACATGATCGATAAACAAAATTAACTCGCGCAATTTCTAGGCCATTTTGCGTAACAACAATTGGAATTGATATTGACGGGTTATTTCTTGTTAATGGAACTGGACATGGTGGTGTATAAAATAAGATAGTTTTTGTATCAAGAAATTCGAGACTAATACTAGATGTTGGATTTATTAAAGGATGTACAAAACGAACAGTGAATGCTAAAAACATAAAATAAGATAATTAATTAATATCAGATAATCATAATAGATGATTTTATTAAAATCTTCTCTGACTACACTTCTACTAAGGATATTTACCATCTAATAGAGTTTGATATTTTATGTCTGATCCTAAATATTGAAAAATAGATCTTCGAAAAGAATCAAATCAGACAAAGTTTCTGCCACATGTTTGATGATATTGCATAGCTGATAAAGAAAAAAATATAATCAAGTTTTATTTGATTTCATTTTTGCAGAAATCTATTTTCTCATGTCTTGACGAAGAATGGACCAGAAGAAGAAGAGACTTCTTCTTTTGACTATAATTATCAGTCTATAATATTACTAAGAGCAGTTTCTTTAAACCTAGCATTTTCCTACAATTTTACAAAGTTCAGATATGGCGATGCATCTTCTTGCTAATATTCAAATTGTGTCGCTAGAGCGAAGACTAAATTGATGTCAAGCTCTTCTCAGACCGCCTATTGTTAGAACATATCCTACGCAAAGATAAACTGGAACAACGATTGAATGATACAACCTAGCAGATACATTATCGTATGAGGAATCAAAGGCAAGAACTATAGATAGTTTGCTCAAGGTTAGTTTATAGCTAGAAAATGTTAAGTTTTAAACGTAATATCTACTTTTTTATCTTCCTAGTATTTTTATCGTAATGAAATTCAATAGCTACGGACTTTCAAGCTTTATCAACTGGTTAACATCTCTAATTGAATGATACTGAGATATGGTCAAAACACATTATAAAATTACATTTTCTTTTATCAATTTTAGGAATGACCATGATAATTTCTTCTCCACCGTGCCAATCACCACTTTGAGGTGAACATCGAAAACTACTATCATTGTTTATTGATGTTGTAGTTGCGGTCATTTGATGTGAAAAGACAGAGGAAATATCGTATATAACTGGTAATTGAATATTATCTTGAAACACGGCTATTGAAAAAACTAATTGCGAATGTCTTAAATCATAAATTTCGATTAATTTTTTAGAATCTGTTGGATCTTCAAGACGTTGTATATCTTTTTCATCTTTGAAACATTAGAATAAAATAAAATTTAAAATAGTTTACCATATTTAATTTCTTACCGGAATTAAAAATTCTTAATGGTCCATGATTTTTTAATTGATATTTAGTGAGTTTTTTCTGAGTAAATTGAAAACTAAAATAAAATAACCAAAAACAAAAATTCTAATTTAAAATATTTTCTTTTAAATAAAATTTTACCTTTTTTGACCAATAAATAATTCATCATCTGATATTGGAAAATAAAGAGAATTAGTCGGTGGATCTTTAATAACATGAATATCTTCTGTATCAATTGGATAAGGATGTACACATCTAACATGCACATATTCATTTGGAACAGTAACAAGAGTTAAACGAATATATAATGATTGTTGACTTTTTATTATCCACTCATTTGGAATCTATTTTGAAAAAAAACTTCAAAAGAAGAAGAAAAAAGATTTTATTTTATTTTTTTACTTCAATCGTTGGATAAACAAGTTGATATGGATTTTTATCAGCACGAACAAAACGCTGAGCTCGATTACGACGACGATCTGTTTCACATATATATCGTTCTCGATATGATGCTTTTGGTTGAGCAATAAGACGAAGTGGTGGCATTGCTTGAGTCATATTTAAAAATTATCTTTAAACTGAAATTATTATTAGTTTAATTGAGTATATAAACATAAAAATTTAAAAAAAAAAAGTATATGTGAAACATCCTAGAGTCATAGTTTGTTTTACCCTATCAATGCGCAAACAAAATTACGCCACGCAGAAAAACAACTACTAGCCGTACTTATAGGTAGCTGCGATAAAAAGAACACGTGGTTTTCGTCGTAATAAAAAAAAGAAATGTTAATGCATGAAGACATACGAAATTGGGTTTTATTTTTTACGACATTCATAATTTCACGATAATAATATCTGTTAGACCAGACTGATGTTTTTCTAAAGATAATTATTCGTTGATGTGTTTTTAGAAGATCAGAAAATACTCATAAATTGATAATATATTTTAAGGTAAAAGGAAAAAAAAACATAATTTATAACATGGTTCATACTTTCTTATGATTATTATCAAAAATAATATTAATCTATGATAGAATAACCAATGAGATGTTACCTTTTTTTTTTAATTAAATCATTCACTATACATAATTCAATCCATTTGAATATTTTTCTACGGATTTATATACATGGGATTTTATATAAAAACCTCAGGTCATTTTGATAATTCATAGGTATTGCGGGCGTAATACTTTACAAACATGATTTTGTTAAATATTTTTTTTTGGTAAGAGAATATTCATCTGAAAATGCATTTTACTTCGATAATTTTGTTTTTCGTGTAAGAAACTCTACCTTCTTTCTTGCTGTGATGAAATTTTGTTTTCTGCTGTTTTTTTTGCTGTTTCGAGTGTTCTATTTTAAACAAAAACAAAAAAAAAAGAAACGAAAAGAAAATTACCAAGTCAGTCACTTAAAGTTTACGTATAGATAATTTTTTTTGTAGAAAATTGAGTTCTATAAACGATTAATTTCTGACTTCAACATCATTTTTTTGTGTTATGTATATATATCATTTTTTGAGATATAAAAGTGATATACACAATGATAAACAGTTTAGTATCTTAGACAATAGATTTTGTTTTATAGAGATCGTAAAAAATACTACACAATGAGATAAAACAATGAAATTCTTTGCATTGTGTGCGCAGACATCTAAATACTATATCAGAGATGTCCAACAGGACGCGAAAGTTGTTCTAAAAATACCATTGCAGCAACTTTATCTAGAAGGTATAGCAGAGCTGTATGAATCTGCACAAAATTCTAGTGTCTACAAATGTGACACTATGACACTCGATAAATCTCATGGATTGGTAATAACAGATCTAGTTGCATTCAGTCACAGCTGTGAAATTCAAAAAACATGTTTTTGAATATCATCATGACAAAGGCGTAGCTGGAGAGATGCCCATATACCCTCCATAAAGTTTCGTTTTGTGAGACTTTTAGTGACGATAATTTGAAACTTGCTTCAGAGCTGAACATCTAATGGGACGATGCTGCTGGCCTGCTCTACCGTTCAACAGAACACATTATGATAGCAGAATAAGAATAGTTTTCATGCGCTCATGGAGATTCTGCATGGTACCTTTTTCCATTATATATGTAACGTCTGTATTATCAAAACATTTATGACATAATGGTCTGTTTTTTTTAAAAGATTATTGAAATATATATGAATATGAATATGTAATTGTTTCAAAATGAAACAAATTCACTGTGAATTGATTAACTTCATACAATCAATTATCTGATCATTAAATGGATCTTTTTTTATTACTGATTATATCAGTTAGAAGTGCAACACAGAGTGTAGCAAACGTGTCTTCTATAAAGTAATTTAATACAAACTTACTATTGATGAAATTGTTTCAGTTATTTTTCCCTCTATAATAAGTATTGCTGTCAAATTTTTATTTATATGAACAACTATAACAAAATGCTATTCAGACAAGAGGAAAAAAGCTGACTACAATCAAAGAAAATCATTGTCAATCATTAGTAACTATCAATCGTTGTTCAGAATAAAGCAAAGGGGAAAAAGCAAAACTTTATCTACTTCAAGAAAAAAGTGAAGTACAAGTAGGAATGTAACAATACCAATACCAGTCAATACCAATCGGTATCGGTATTGGTATTGACTGGTATTGATATTAGTATATGGGGGAGGGGAGGGGGGGGAGCTACTACTGCACATAAAACTGAAAAATTTTGAGAAACCAGTCAGTGATTCGGATTCTTCGACCTCAAAAACCTTTGATCAAACTTCCTAAACAAAATCGTTATTTTCAAAGAATAACCTTGTCTTAACGAAAAAAATTAAATTCGAATACTTTGAGAAATCAATTATACAGGGTTAGAAATAATAGTTTGCCCTGGGGATACCACTATAATTTCAAATAGAAGATATAATGAATTTTATATCGACTGAAAGTTCGTCAAAAATGAGGTTTATTGATACTAAATAGTAAGGGTTAAAAAAACATTTGAATGTCAAACTTAAGAAACTTTCAGAAATTTTATACTTTTTTTGTGGTGAAGAAGTAAGATGTAAGTAATTCAAAAATGGATTAACCCTTTGGGGACGGGTTTTTTTTTCTGTATATTTCATCATAAATCAATCAACATTTCTATATTCTAAAAGAACTTATTATCCATTACTGGATATCTGAATAAAATAACCAAATTACAATCCAAATTATACCAAAAAACTCTCTGATAAATGCTTTCACGAAAACTAATCTCATATAGGAATCTGTGTGTTTTGAAATGCTAGAGAATTACCATGGCCCCTTAGAGGGCCAACCGTCCCTAAAGGGTTAAAATGTTTTTCTTGAATATTTTTACATGGTTCGATAGAGCTCATCGATCACTACAAAATTGTATATATTAAACAATTTTAAAACAGAGTTCTTGGATTAAAATTCACTGAAAACTGTTCAAAGAATGTACCAACAAACCCGTATTTTTTACACTTTTTATAGGGAAAAGAGTGGTCTTTTTTATACTAAATTCAGCTATTTCCCATTAGTATCCTCATGTAAGATGTTTGAAAATATACTCATTCGACGCAGTGTGATAAACTGCATCGAATGAATATGTTTCGAAACGCCTGAGGAAGTAAAAATAAATAAAAAAAAAGCTAATTTTATTGAAAATTCGAGTGTTTTTCTTCCATATAAAAAATATGACCTTTTATAACGTTTTTTAAGATTTTCCAAATAGTTTTTTGACAGAAAATGTTTAATATATACAGTTTTGTAGAGCTCGATGAGCTCTATCGAACCATGTAAAAATATCCAAGAAAAACATTTTAATCCATTTTTAAATTACTTGCATCTTACTTCTTCACCGCAAAAAAAGTATAAAATTTCTGAAAGTTTCTTAAGTGTAACATTCAAATGTTTTTTTAACCCTTACTATTTAGTATCAATAAACCCCATTTTTGACGAACTTTCAGTTGACATAAAATTCATTATATCTTCTATTTGAAATTATAGAGGTGTTCCTGGGGAAAATATTATTTCCAGCCCTGTAAATTCTTGATTTTTTTCATCAGGAATACATTATTTTAAGAAAATAGCGTTTTGTGAAACACGATCTGGAAAGAGTGTTGAAGTGTTTAGGGACAGAAATTTGTACCCCCCCCCCCCTCCTCTCCACAGACCGTGACAGACACTCACTCCAGAGGTCATTATAGATTGTGAAAGAAGGGTTCAAGGAACTATCAGAGATAATACATAGCTAACACATGATTGGAGCATATATGGAGTATTATCCTGTTTCAGCTCTATAATGTAAAGTAAGCCACAATGAAGAAATATACACCAATATGCATAAAGACGAACAATTTTTATAAGATTGGCAACAGCAGGTACATCGTGTTTCACATTATAATCCCGCAAGGGATTGCGCTAACAGTTTATTCTTATAAAGTTTGATCAAAGTTTTTCGGGATCGAGGAATCCGAATCCGTTGTCGGTTTTTCAAAATTTTTCAGTCTGACGTGAAATACCAGCCTCTCCCCCCCATATACCAATACCGCAATACCGTATTGATATTGTTACATCCGTAAGTACAAATGAAGTACAACTGAAGTACGCACTCTTAAAATTTCGCTTTTTCCTCCTTGGCTTTTTTCATTTGTATATTCAAGTTTCGTATCAAAATTTACGTGTAAAGTCACAGTATTTTCCTGTTGCTCAGCCATAGAAATATTATACTGGTCGAAAAAGAACTCGGACTGATGTTTTTTCGATATAAAAGAAAGTGGATAATCACTGTCAATCAAGTCAATCTCGTAAATCAAAAATTCAGCTTTTTCCCCCCTTGAGAAAGGCAGTAAAATGGTTGATAAGTTAATAGGTGCTTTGCTCACATGAAAATCGAAAAAGTATCCTATTTATTCTACAAACTAATCTGTCCTGCGCAGTAGAAGAGAACTAAAATGAAATTTTCCTTTTATTCTGTCCTCATCTCTGTAACAAATAGAAATTTCTTTTTTTCTCAAACTAACACTAGATCAATGCTTGTTTTTGTGTTTCTTACATAATCAAAAGATGAGCTTGTACTTGTAGCTTACTTTCTATTGAGATAGGTACCTAGACACAGGTCACAGAACAATCAAAATGTTTTTCTGTACACGCAAAAAGGACAGCTTAACCATTGGTTACGTATATTAAGAGAAATTTCAACATATTTAGATATTGTGCATCTCCCTTGGAAAAATCTTGACTACGTCACAGCAGATTTTCAGCCACGATGGACATACCTGTATTATAGATAGTAATGCATGATTGCACGCAGTTGGATATGATCTACATAATCTCTGTATGTTGAATATGTGAAATCCAAAAAAGAAAAAGAAAGAAACTTGTATGAGTGTAGCAACACGGAATGTAAATTGGCAATTCTGAAATAGCTAAGTTTCATTAGAATTATAAAAATGTTTTTGATATTCTTTGTGAATTTCAATAATATTGTCAAATTTTCGCAATTGTCGAAATCCTGGTAGTGAAATTCAAGAGACTCATGCAGAAAGAATAAAGTACTTTCAGGATATCGAATTGGTGTTTTTAAGTAGAATTCTGTTATAGATCGATTTTTTTAGTAATAAATACTTTATAAAATTTAGTACTCAAGCTGTTTCCAATTTTGAATAGTTTTATATTCTCTTGCAAAGAATGAATTGTTGATGATGTCAAAATATGTGTTACTCATCATATAAAAAGGTTACCCAGAATTCATTATCAAGCACATCCGTCTGAGTTCTAGTTTACAGTTTGCTATTTATTACTTAAAGAAATCTTAGAGTTTTGAAGCAAGTGATATAATGAACCGAAAAACCAGGTTTAACTTTTATAAATCTTCTCCATTTGTCGTTATGCATGAGTAAGATTATCATCACTCAGATTTTTAAATAAAACTATTAATTGACTAGATAAATGTTGACTTCAGAAGAAGTTCTAACCCACATGCAATACTATATATGAGTCAATTCTACAACACAAGAGCTGATAATTGTATTTTAATGAAGAAGCAGTAATATTATACCATAAATATGATGAGATATTGAAAAACATAAGTAAATTTAAAACAACTGTGAATATATTAATCTTTATAAATAGACAGTAAAATCAAGATAAGCATAGTAGTTTATTAAAAAATTATTTTTCATTCTCGATTAAAAGCTCACAAGAAAAGGGATTGCCATGAGATTGTGCAATCTCCAATGGTGTTTGAGAAAGTTTATTCTTTCCAACCAACAGAATTTGTTTTGTGTCATTGGATAAAATTTTGAAAATATTTCCAATGGTTTCTGCACCTCCATCTTCATTCAAATTTGCAAGTAAATGTAATAAATTATTATCATTTTTATCTTTCTGTTCAACAAGATCAGATCGATTTTTAAGAATAACTTCAATTAATTTCCATTGATTACATTTAGCTGCAATTAATAATGGTGTTTCACCATTTTCATTTTCTTTTTCTAATAATCCTTGTGATGAATTCATATCAAGAACTTGTTCAATAAGTGATAATGCTATTTCTATATGTCCACGTTGAATAGCATCATTCAATGGAAGTGAATTTTCATCACATTTAGATAACAAAATACGTGTTCGACGAAATAATTGAGAAGGATCATTTGTACGAACAAATTTTTCTAAAGCAACTTTTAATTGATTAAGATATTTATCAAATTTTGTATCTTTTTCTAAAGAAAAAAGCAATAGATATATGAAAGGCAGATATTATTCACAAATTGATATACCATTTGATGAAATTGGAATATGAGATTGAATAGGTTTCTACAATAATTATATAAGATAAAAAGTCTAGAAATAAAATAAACTAACCTGTTCTATTGATAATTGTTTCATATGTGAAATAAGACTTTCTCCACTATCAGTTTCAATATATTCATTATATTCACATATTCTTTTATTACTTCTACGATTATCATTTATATTACTTTGACAACGTCTACATAGATTGATTGTTGGTTTCATTGCTAAAATAAATAAATAAATAAATAAATAAATATAGTTATTGATATTTGTTTGAATTTCTATTACATACGTGTCACATAATAAAAATCAATTGAAGATAAGAGTAAATTATTTTCTTTAATAATAACTGATACTTGAAAATTTTTATCTCCTGGTAATATTGGACATGGTGGTGTTCGAAATAAAATTGTTTTTGTATCAATATGTGTTATTTCATTAACAATTTGTTCTCCAAATAGACCAAAATCGAAACAAATTGTATACTCTTTAAAAAAATAAAACGAAAAAGAAGTTAAATATGAAGTTGAAAAAGTTTTAATTCTATAAACTTTTTCCTTTGATTGGCTTAGACATAATAATTAACACTTCATCATCACCTTGCCAATCTCCTTTTTGTGGTATACATTTAATTGGATTATTTGGTTTACCATTTGAAAGATTCATAGATAAGTCTTCAAAAAGAAAAAATAATTCTTTTGGAAAATTTTTCTTTAAATCAAAATTAACCTCGTCCAAAAGGTAATCCATCAACCATAATTTGAGATTTGGCCAACGTATGAAGTATTGGAACAGGAAAAATATTGTTATCTTGTTGTTTAGCTAGTGTGAAAACAAGTTGAGATTTCCACAATTGATATAGTAATATTTTTTGTTTAACTTCTTGTGGAGTTTCAATGCTTAGAGTTTCATCTTGTTCTAACAGAAATAAATAAATGCATGGTCATATATATGATTGTTATCAAATATCTGCTTATTTTTTTTTACCATAATCAAGCAAACGCATTGGTCCGTATGATTTCAAATCATCTTGTTTTTGTTTTTTTACAATAATAAGAAAACTAAAATATATCCAAATTTCGAAAAAGTAAAAAACAAAATATATATTACGTTTAATTCATACCTTTTTTTACCTTTAATAAATTCATTTTCGTTAATACGAAAATAAAGTGAATTATTCTCCAAATTTTGAATGACATTATCTTCTGGTGTATCAATTTCATAAGGATGAATACAATGATAAGGTATTCTGTCACTAGTTACAGTTACTAATGTAACTCGAATATATAATTGTTGATTTGAATGATACCATTGTGATGGAATCTATTTGAAGAGAAAAAAATTATCCTATTTGTTACAAGTAAATAATTCGTGGATGAATTGAAAATTTAAATTATTGATCTTTAATTTAAGAAGAAAAAAACGAAATATATTTTTAACACCATAAATGAAGTGTGACTTACAAAGGATGATTTATCTGAACATACTAAAGTGAAAATAGATCTACACTTCAGTAATTAACAGAAATCACAGGTGTTTTTGACTATTCTAACATTTACTACATATTAGTTTCCTACACGGGTATGATTTTTCGTACCCGAACCTAGACCGGCACTTATTTTTTATACCTGGGAACGACCAGAATTCGAATAGTTATACCCAGTACTCGAACGGAGGTAACTGACATCCGGCAGATAGTTTCATAGTCACAATACGGTTTACAAACTTTTGTTTTATGTGAAAACGTATACTATTTAGTTTTTTTCATGAACAGTAATACGAAACGAAGAGATCATCTTAAATTTCACAAAAAAAAGCAAGTGATTCAGGATTCACTTGGTGTCTTTCTGCTTCTAAAACTCGATCAATTTCGTTAAATCTACAATTGCTTCTTGCTAGTGACACTAGAATGGAATACAGTCTTGGTGCTAAATGTCATATTTGTCAATACATATATGAATGCTTTTTTCATCACGATAATACATGTTCACTTTTTTTCATAGTTCATTTTCTTCTTCATGTATTCAATTACTTCGTTATATAGTTTTTCATCATCTGTAAATGAATTTTCATTAAAAACGAATTCTTTTAGTAAAACAATATCACTTTCTACTTCTGTCATCTGTTCTCAAATGTAATAAATTGCTCAATCATTATCGAATTAGTTTTCATTACTATACTTTTATATATATAAAGCGGTTTGAAAAAATAAAAATATTTTGAAACGTCAAGATCTCAAATATGATTGGGTCAGATGTCAGATATGATCTTGAATCCAGACTCAAGCCGGCAATTTTTTTCATATTCGGATCGATGCATCGGGTGTCGGGTAGGTGATCCGAGTGCAAGATACTATTACATATTCATTTTTAGTGGAAAACTCTAGAGTATTGCTGCTCACTATACTGAACAGTAAAGTATCGATATATGTATAAATACATGTCGAAGGAGAAATTAAAATTTTTCTAGAACAATTTGAAATTTCAATTTTAGTTGAATTTTTTCAAAAAAAAAACTTAAAATTCTAGTTCCTTCTAGGATAAATTAAAATTTCAGTTTTCCCTGTCGGACAATTTTGAATTCTCCTGAACTCATAGTACAAACTTTATTATTTATATATGCCAAATATACGGAGTTTAAACTAAACATTTGAATGTTGGTTTCATCTTTGATGAATGACATTTGATATCATATTGTATTATTACCGCCCGACAATGACATTTCTTTCTTGAACAAGTGCCATTACAGTTACATGCTTCAATAGCAGTCCTTAATCCTGTACTCACATACTCTTTGCTTACTTGAATAAATATCATTGTCGATAATGTTGTTGAATCGACATCATATAAGTTGCTAAAGTTACAGCTAGATACATCCAATAGATTGAATGCTTGAAACTGTGAGGAGATCATACATGTTGTTGTTGTTGTTGTTGTACATAATTGATAGGTACACATGTCATGTAATGCTGATTAAACTGATATTATCTTACATGACAGTGGTTTAAATGTAACATTTGTTCTGCCTACGTTATCATTTTTATTTCATTCTGATCTTCTATTGACTCTACCGGACATAAAAGATATTTCAATTTTTTCTATAGGAAAAACTGAAATTTTAATTTATCCTGGGAAAATTTACAATTTTTCTGAATTTTAATTTCTTCTCCGATATATATATATATATATTTTATGTCAGTTGAATACCAAGTATAGTAATCATTATATCCTTTATTATTAACATCTTTTATATGATCTCTTCTCGTCTGTTTTGTTGTGTTAATATCTGTTCTGTTTAATTTTTTTTAATGAAATATAAATACCTGAACAGTTGGATATTCATGTCTGTTACCATTGTTCTCAGCACGGATAAAACGTTTAGCTCGATTTTTAAGTTTATCAATTTCACTAGGATATCGTCCACGATAAAATGCTTTTGGTTGAGAAATAATGTGAATTCTTTCATATTGACAATCATTTAATAGAGCTTCAACGTATGAATTATCCATTGTATCAATTACACGTTCAGCATTTGAGGCATAGAGTTCCAAATCATTATTATTACCACAGACATTTTGAAATTGAGTCATGAAAACTTCATCAAAATCTGTTGTTGATCTTTGTAGAGGATTTGAATTGTAAAGATTCCATGAATTCAAATCAGTTAAAGTAGTACCAATATTATTGATATTTATATCTATATCTACATATATATATATATCAAATAGTACAGAATAAGAAATTCAAACATCATTATTCGCATTCTCTCAAAACGAAAATACTGGATGAATTTTACCGGTAATTATAATAGAAAAAAACTACATTTTTGCCACAAAAAAAAACTTACCAAGCATTTGCTCTAATGTTTCTGATGTTGGTGTGAAATATGCATCGCTTTGGTCTGCTGAAAAAAAAAGTGGTATAAGTTGATTTTTCTATACAAAATTTATACCGTAATCGTTTAAATAAACCATGAGATCAATAGTTTCAATGTTAAAAAAATCAGTTTATGACAAGTTAAAGAAGTCAATATATTAGTTTGTCTTTTAGATTGCTTGATATCTGTACACTATAATGGCTTTAGTGTAATCATCTAATGTCTACTTTATAATATCCATTGCTTAAATATGTAGAGGGGACAAGACAGCGGAGAGAGAAAAAGAGAAAATTAGAATACGATGTGGAATAATAGTTTAACCATGGGGAAAAAAACAAATGACAAACCAATAATAGACACAAAATCTTAGAAAAAGGAAGACGAAAACAAGGATTGACAAGGAAAGGTTAAAACGTCATGCATAAACAATCAGTACAACAAATAGGCAAAAGTAGACAACAACACATCAAAAATAAATCAATAACGTCATATACACGTTGATAAATACGACATATTTATAAGCTATTCTTAGTAAATGACGTGTAAGAATTCTTTCCTTATACAAATGAATGGGGAAAATACCATAGACAAGACAAAAAAAAGTACTAAATCCACCAAAATAGAAATGATTCTATTGGAAGGATAAATATCTGTGTCACTTGCAAAATAAAATGAATATCATGTTGAATGAATATATGTAGAAATAAACTATGTGATAAAAGAGATTTTGTCAGCAACAATAACAAGATAAAAAATATTTTCTATCATTAAAATAGGTCTACTTTTCTATGAGTCTAATATCATCAATGACTTGAAATATTATTAGACTTTTTGTTATTGATAAGATAATAGTGTTAGAAGACGTCATAGCAGATCCATATCTTATTGTATATTGTGTCCATGTCATCAGCAAAAACAAAATGCGTAATTTCACTATGACGCCTGTTTGCTAGAATGAAAAATACTCGACGAAACAGTTAGTTGTTCTTGTTGTTTTTGCTTTTACATTATTTGTTTTTGCTATGTGATTGATACTCTTTCATAAGTTACTAGTTGTTTTTTTCTCTCAGTCAATAATGTTTATTTTACTGTTGTTTCATTCATATACACAGAAGTCTTTATGTAGATAAAGTTATTCTGTTGATGCACAGCGAGTACCAAAATTATTTAACGAAGTTTATTTTTCAGTTTTTTTTCTCGTTGCTGTAAGTACCAGAAGGAATTCAAATTGTTATTCGAATAGAGAAGATGGTTTTCAACAAGAACATAAGGAAATAAAAATTATTATCAGACTTTTAAAAATAAGGACTTCAGAAAACTAAAAGGCTAGTTTTTCAACAGCTAGAACGGGTAAATATAGTTTTGTGTAGACTACATAGAAAGTTAGAGTAAATAATTCTCTACCAAATGAGATGACTCCAAATTGTCTGCGACCTTTTCTTAGCTGACATACAACAATATGATTGAAGGTCAAAAAAACCATCTTTTCAATAGGAAATAATAGAAACACAACTTTAGAGATTTGCGTAAAATTGCCGTATCTCAGCTAAAAAACATTACAGATGACTCAAAGACGTTGCATTTAGTAGGCAATTATTTACTCTAGCTTTCTATGTAGTCTAAATAAAACTATATTTACCTGTTCTAGTTGCTAAAAAAGTAGTCTTTTGGTTTTCTGGAGTCCATACTTTTAGAAGTCTGATAATAGTTTTTATTTCTTTATGTCCTTGTTGGAAACCATCTTCTCTATTCGAATCATTATTTAGATTCTTTCTAGCTTTTACAGCAATGGAAAAAAATGAAAATAAACCTAATTGAATAATTTTGGCATCCATTATTTATTAATATCTTTTATTCTTCGAAAAACCGAACTAAAATAAAATTTTCTAAGATGAGGATAGTGAGACATTCTGTGAAAAATATCTCATCTGGAATAGAAGATAACATTTGCGAAGATAATTTCAATCTCTGAAAAATTCTCAGTCAATTTTTCCCATAAGACTATCTTGTTTTTTTTTTAAAGTCAAAGTTCATTGTGATGTGTTTTAATTTCATAGATGTCTTACATTTTACTTGTTAAAACAAAGTTCAACGATAATATGGAAAATCATGTATACGATTTACTGTTTGTTGATTATTTGGAAGAAGAGAAATGAGCAAATAAGTATGTCATTGTGAGAATCAATGTATTGTCAGAAGACAATTCCAATATATTCCTCAAACATAATATAACATCACATATTATTAATTATTTCAAAGGTCAACATTCTCGAATGAGAAAAATGTGTAAATTCTTCGCATCCAAATATTAATATTGTGATTGATTTACTGGAAAAAGAATAATTGTTAGCATCAATTGTAAGAATATGAGATGATTTTGGAGCGCCATGCCTAAAATGACGGAAAAATAAAATCATAACAGATGAATCTTTAATGAAACTATGACAATATTATAATGAAGATTGTATTGATATTCCAGTGTTCTTGAAAGCTGTTGGATTGAGATATTTTTGACGTGCATCAAATAGTTAAACAGTCATCTCTCTTTATTGTTTTTGTATTTATCCATATATCTATTGGAAGATTTTTTTAATTCTGACAGTACATTGATTGCTGAAATGATTACTCATTTGCTAATTTCTCTTCTTTAAAGTAATCAATGGACAGTAAATCTGCCGACAATAAGTCGTGTAAACCATATATATTTGTGTCGCTGGATCATCAGAAGTACCTTAGTCATTGCACAATATCGTAGAGAAACTTAGATTGAAGAAGGAAAACAAAATATAGTATTCATTGGCCTTTCATTTGTACTTTATAGCATCATTATTGGAGTACTATAAATCGGTATATGCTGATTCAAAATATGTTTATATTACATGAAACCAAAAGTTTGTAGCGATCGTTGAGAGAATTAATAAACAAAAAACAATAGCAAACTTTAATTATTTAATTGTTGAATCAATTATTTGGTTGTAATTTTGAATGTTCTATTTTATTGCAAAGTACGATTCAATTCTATTCTAAATATTTATGATTTAGTGAGAATACAATCGTTTTTTGTTATAAATACTTAATTTATTTAACATAATTAGAATTTTTAAGTTTCATGGATACTTATCCTTATATAGTATTTAAGAAAATAACATTACCTGCATTTCATTATTTCTTATTTCATTTTATCATCAAGAGTATTTCTTTTTTACTAAAAGTTAGATAAAGATTAGTTATTTCATCATCATCGTTTTAGATCTATATAGTTTTAACGCATTTCGCTTCATTCTAAATGTCATTATTATTCAACCATATAAAACAAACACATACACATACAGAAAAAAAAAGTAATTAAAACATCGAGATTACATAGTACATAACAATAATTTTTGTTTATTACATAAAATCAACATGATTAAGAACATAAAAATTAAAAAGACTATGTAATTTAGATTTTATTATAAATTATTCTATTTTTTATTTCTTTTCCATGTAATCGAATTTTTTATCATATTGATAAAGAATTCATTTTACTTTATTAGAATTTGAGAAAGAAAGGTTTTTTTCAAGATGTTTATAAAATGAAAACAGTAATTTAATTATCATCTGAACTTGAATCATCATCAATTTCTTCCTGAGGATATATTTCATTTAAATATTTCAGTATGTCATCATGTTTAAGTGATTGAGCTAATTCAGTTGGTGTCATTGTTAAATTGGATTGATTACCTTGTTTAATTAATTTACCATCTTCAATTAAATATTTAATCATTGCTAAATCTCCATAACGAACTGCAAGATGAATAAGATTATCACCTGTACGATTCTTTATTTCGTGTATATTAGTATTAGAATATTGCAAAAGAGATTTTGTAAGTAATAGATTATTTTTTGAAATAGCTATTTGTAATGGTGTTTGATAATCTTGATTAAAATGATCAAATTTTTCTTTAATAGAAATTAATTTTTCATGAAGATAATTAATTAATAAATCAAGTATTTCTAATGAAATTGAATGTGATGCAATTAAATGAAAAATATTATTTCTTTTGTCATCAATATATTGAATAAGTTCTTCTGATTTATTTCGTTGTAATAAAGTTTGAATAATTTCTATCTGATTGAGACGTAAAGCATGTAAAAGAATAGTTTCACCAAGTTCATTTGTTTGCTGAAGAATATCAATTGAAGCAATTGGAATAAATTTTAATAAAAGATCAGAATAATTATTATCCAAAGCATCATGAAGTAATTTTGGACGTTTCTTAATGAATGGACGACATAAACGTAGAAATAAAGTATAATCATTGTTTAGAAATAATGATTCAACAGCATCATGAATCGTATCTATCAGGTTTTTATTGGCATCTTTAGTTGAATCAATGTGCAATAATTGGAAAGCTAAAATATTAAAATGAAAATCAATAGAGCGTTCTTTTAGATATATTCGAGATTATTGAAGTATTCATTTTACTTGAATCAGTTTACGAGGGAATATTTTCAACTGTTTAATCGCTTTATTATGAAAAACTACTAGATTATGGATTATCGATCATGCTGATTTATTTTGTTTTTCCAAAATGAGTTTTAAGTAAAATAATATCATCTTGAAGATGTTCAAATTGAAATGTTGACATGTATTATAGGTCTCAATAGGGTGGACTAAGCCGAAGAAAGCCAGTTCATACATTTTTAGTATGTGAAAAAGCAAACATATTTCGAGTACTAGTAATTGATCTATAAACGAATGTTTGGTAACATATTTGACAACTTACAAAATCTTCAATTCTATTGAACTCATCAGTATATTTTCTGATTTTTTTATAATTGGAAAATCAAAAACATTCTAACATAGAGATATGTTTGCATCTTTATTTTGCTTTATATACTTGCTGTTCATTGCAGAAATGTTTTAGTCAATGGAAGAATCTTAGCCCATGGACTGGATTCGATCCAGCCTCCATTGAGACGTCTGATATGTATGTGTGGTATGAATTCAAATAGCTCTATTTTCTGCAAAAAAGAACGAATTGAAACAGAAAAAGTTATTGTTTTCGAGACAATTCGATATACTCTATAATCTGGACAGATCATTAAAAATTTTTTGGCGAAAAGTTTGTCAGTTTCGAAAACTAATTTACTAAAAAAGAACAACATATGAAGATCTAAAGAGATTTCTCATGGCCATATTCGGAATCAGCATAGTCGATAAACAATAATCCAGTAGCTTTCATTTAAAAAGCCACTGATCAGTTGAAAACGTTCTCTTGTTAGATTTGTATTAAAATAACTCATCTAATATGAAACATCTAATGACGAGTCCTAAGTCAAACCAATAGACATTTGTTGATATGAAACTATCATACCGAGTAAGAAAATAGAATACTAGATTTTGAATTCACAGGATTGATGAAATCAGTCGAAATCTTAGACGATTGCTATTAGTATTGAACACACTAAAGTCTTTCACATCATCTCGACTTACTATCATACTATATTATAGTTCTACACTCTATAAAATAATAAGGCTAACCGAAAAAATATACAAATCACTAGATTCTATCTACAGTATGCAGTATGACATAAGAAAAACTTCTTACTAAAGTTCGATGTGGTGACTGATGATAGCGATGATTCCTGTAATTTTAAGAAATTAATATTTTATGTGATTGATTCGAAAACTATAGATATAACTCACTGGTTTTAATAATGATTGTTGAAATTTATCTATATTTTTCGAATCCAGTTCAATACTATCAAGTAGGAGTGGACCATTTTATTTAACGAGACTTAATTAACGTTTTTGATTAAGTCTCGTTAAATAAAATGGTACAGTCCTAGTTAAGAAATGGTAGGTGAAAAGAATTTGCCAACTCCAGCAGCTTTTGATCAAATCTGATAGAAAATCGTTGTTCTTGAAAAACGACTTAGTCGCAAGAAAAATTCTGAAACTGAATGGCACACGCGTAACGTTCATCAATTAATCACCATATTTTACATTAAATATTAAACAAAATCAGTTGAACTTGATGCCAATCATAAAGGATTGGTCAACGCCTAACATTAAACACTTATGTGTTATGACCCTTGACCTATATTCTTCTACATATTAAGGACTAATTCAAGTTATTTAAAATGCCTTTTAGTTCAGCCGCATTATGAAAAATCCTTCTGTCTAAGGAGGGACACCAGCCAATCGTCAAACTTTATAATGACTATGTCTAGGCAAATCTTAAAGAGTTATGATAATCATCTCCAGAGAGTCCTGAAAAAATTATAAAAATTACTTCGTAACATTTCTTAAATTAACTTTTCTTTTTGATAAAAAAATATCAAAATGAAATAGTATTTTTTTTTCATGTCAATCACTTAATATTAATGAATTAAATGTTAAATGGAAAAACTTAATTTTAATATTAAGTGTTAAATGATAACTCTAATCTTAATTTTAAATTAATGTAAATGGTTCATTCTTACTATCAGATACGGAGTCATCTATACCAATTGTAGAAAATAGACGTTTGTTTGGTACATTTGGTACTGAATCAGTTCGATTTTCAACAACATATGATTGACATCTTGAACATGGAGTTACTTGAAAGAGAAAACAAAAGATATTTGATTTTCACAAAAAATTTTAAAATCATCTATGTTATTACATGTTGACATATAGTAATATTTTAATGTTCCTAAAGTACGATTAGTTTGTTTCAATATGACATCAACTGGTTGTACGATCTCGAATTGATATGGAAATTTTGGTGTTTTAAATGATATTGTTCGATCTTTAGTATCAATATTATCAATTGATTGTGACCAATGATGATTTGGTAGATTACATTCAAATGTAATTTCTAATCCTATTAGATTATAAAAATTAAAATTAAAATATACATTTGGTTTTTTTTTTCTTCAGTACTAACTTCCATATTTTTTTGGTTCAAGTTTATTTGTTAAAAGAATAAGCATGTCTTCATTACTTGTATCAAAACCAGATTTAGGCGCATATTTATATACACGACAATTAGAAATCAATGAATTTGTTGTTGGAGTTGTTGATTGTATAACATTGTCAAAAGTTGATTCTATAACATCGTCAACAGGTGATTCTATATCAACACCATCAACTATTTCTTCGGAATAAACAGTTGTATCTGAATAAAGTTCCATCATAGATCGACCATCAATAGTTACTTCTTTTGCAACAGTAAATGCTAATTGACTTTTATTGAGATTATATTCATTAATTATGTCTTTTGGACAAGAAAATTGTACAAGTGATTGATTTTGTAAATCTTGATCTAATGATAATAATAATAATAACAAAAAATATTTCATTGATTATAAATCTTTCATAAAATAAATACAAAACCTACTATCACAATCAAATGGACGTAAACTTGTAGAAGTTTGTAAATGACAAGCTCGTGTTTTTACGATACGTAAATATGGAAAACTAAATAATAATAGAAAATTTTAAAACAACCTAAAGAAAATCTTTGGATAATTGATTTTTTTGTAAATACCTTTTAGTACCCGAAAGACAATCTTCTTCTTGAATTGGAACCCAAACGCAATTATGACCTCTATCATTAATTTCCTTATTCAAAGGATGTTCAAGTTCATATGGATGAAAATAATGTAGATTTGTTTTTTTATATTCAACCGTGACAAGAGAAACGCGAATATAATATTTATCATTTGGTTTTCGATAATCTTCTGGAATCTAATAAAAAAAATTCTTATTATATATTATTATGATAAATAAACTCACAAGAATCGCAGGACCTTTATAATTTGACTCTTCATTTCGATTTTTTAGAACACCTAAACGACTTTTATTCTTGTCAAATTCAGAACGATAGCGTAATTTTCCACCAGAATATGGTTGAGCTATGATTTTTAGACGTGGCCTATTTGATTGCATATTTGTTGGTAAAGCAAAATCTTGTGAAACAACAAAAAGAACAACATTGATGAATAATCACAAAGATCTTATTGATTAATTGAATTTAAAAAAAATATGTATATACTCTTTCTTTTTATTTATATTGGAGCTTTTTCATGTTTTCCTTTCGATCAACAACTTTTTTAGAAACTTATTTATCATTTTTATCAACTGGAGTTTTCACTATTTAAATGCATGTAAATAAAGAGAGAGAGAAAGAAGATTAGAGGAGAAGAGAGCTAATAAAAGAAGATGGATGATCACAAGAGATGAGGCGCACATTCTCTCTAACATATAGTAAACAGACAGTGGAACGAAAGAAGAACAAACTTGGAAATACTATTTTCTCTTCAGCCATCATTGTCTTCCGTTCCACTATCTATTTGCCATATGTTGAAAAGTGTGCATGTAGACCGCGTTGGGTTCAAAATTCTGGAACCCAGTCGGACCATACTTTGATACTCTCAATGAAATTTTCTAATCGGAATTAGATGATGGTCGTCTCAAAGATACGAGATACTTTCTTCCGAGTTTTTGTTGTATTCGATGCTAGTGCACCCTACATATTTCCCGAACGACTAGAACACATCGCATTCAAAATTTTTCGGCTGTAGTTAACAGAAAAACTTTAGATCAGGATCCGTTCGGATTCGAATTTCGGACCATCCACCTTCAATTCTTAGTTGTCTTCTCTTCTATTCTTCTCACTCTTTCTATTCATGTGCATTTAAATAACTAGTATTCCAATGGGTAAAAATCAAAAGTAAATTTGTGAAGAAACTTTCGTTTGACAATCAATCATCCAAAAGCTCAAATACAAATAAAAACAAAGAGTTTATTATTTTTTTTAAACTAAATCAACTAAAAAATCATTTGAATTCGTTTTTGTGAAAATTTTTTCTAAACATACTATTCCACGATTCCTGATCATTTGAATCAGAACCAATTCCTGATGAAAGAGATGATAGAGTTTCCATATCTAAATGAGATAATTATTATCTTTTTTCTGATATTAAAAGATACTTACTGGTGTCAAATGGAACAAGAGAAGGACTGATCGGTATAGCTAATTCTGAAAGAAAAAAAAATCATACTTGCATAAAGTTGATTGATTTTTGCAGACCTTTACCGGGATCCAAAGGATCGAAAAGTGCTAAATCGTGAAGATTGCCTGATCCTAAAACAGAAGAATAAAATATAGAAAACAAGCTTTGTTTATTTCTCATACCATTTAAAAAATCATCAATAAATTGATCTGATGGATTCAACATAGTTTTGATGTTTAATAAAGTCTAAAAAAAAATAATACTATCAAATGAATTCTGTCGTCTTCATTTCTTTTCAAAAGTGCGTAATATCAAATGTGCTTATAAAATGTTGTTTTTATTATTCTGACTCATGAGAAAAAAACCCAATTTTTCAATAGACGTGTAGTTCTAGAATGAATTTATTTGGAGAAAATTTATAAAAAAAAAAAACTAAAACAAGGAAAAATACAACCAAATCTTTAATATTACAAATTATATGCTTTTTTTCCCACCATTGATCGAAAAATTTAACATATCAATACATTGAGTATTGCCATGAGATTGTGCAATCTCTAATGGTGTTTGAGAAAGTTTATTCTTTCCAATCAAAAGAATTTGTTTTGTGTCATTGGATAAAATTTTGAAAATATTTTTTATATTTTCTGCACCTCCATCTTCATTCAAATTTGCAAGTAAATGTAATAAATTATTATCATTTTTATCTTTCTGTTCAACAAGATCAGATCGATTTTTGAGAATAACTTCAATTAATTTCCACTGATTACATTTAGCTGCAATTAATAATGGTGTTTCACCATTTTCATTTCCTTTTTCTAATAATCCTTGTGATGAATTCATATCAAGAACTTGTTCAATAAGTGATAATGCTATTTCTATATGTCCACGTTGAATAGCATCATTCAATGGAAGTGAATTTTCATCACATTTAGATAACAAAATACGTGTTCGACGAAATAATTGAGAAGGATCATTTGTACGAACAAATTTTTCTAAAGCAACTTTTAATTGATTAAGATATTTATCAAATTTTGTATCTTTTTCTAAAGAAAAAAGCAATAGATATATGAAAGGCAGATATTATTCACAAATTGATATACCATTTGATGAAATTGGAATATGAGATTGAATAGGCTTCTACAATAATTATATAAGATAAAAAGTCTAGAAATAAAATAAACTAACCTGTTCTATTGATAATTGTTTCATATGTGAAATAAGACTTTCTCCATTATCAGTTTCAATATATTCGTCATATTCACATCTTCTTTTATTACTTCTACGATTATCATTTATATTACTTTGACAACGTCTACATAGATTGATTGTTGGTTTCATTGCTAAAATAAATAAATAAATAAATAAATAAATATAGTTATTGATATTTGTTTGAATTTCTATTACATACGTGTCACATAATAAAAATCAATTGAAGATAAGAGTAAATTATTTTCTTTAATAATAACTGATACTTGAAAATTTTTATCTCCTGGTAATATTGGACATGGTGGTGTTCGAAATAAAATTATTTTTGTATCAATATGTGTTATTTCATTAACAATTTGTTCTCCAAATAGACCAAAATCGAAACAAATTGTATACTCTTTAAAAAAATAAAACAAAAAAGAAGTTAAATATGAATTTGAAAAAGTTTTAATTCTATAAACTTTTTCCTTTGATTGGCTTAGACATAATAATTAATACTTCCTCATCACCTTGCCAATCACCTTTTTGTGGTATACATTTAATTTGATCGTTTGAAGGGTTTATTGTTGAGTCTTCAAAAAGAAAAAAATAATTCATTTGGAAAATTTTTCTTGAAATCAAAACTAACTTCTTTTATCAGTTACTTCATCAACTATAATTTGCGATGCAACGGATGTATCAAGTATTGGAATAGGAAAAAACCTATTATTATGTCGTTCAGCAATGGTAAAAATAAATTGAGATTTCTTTAATTGATATGTAGCTATCTTGCATTTGGCATCTTGTGAATTGAGGATGCATTGTGTATCAGGTTGACCTAAGATATATATAAAATATTACTTAATCATATATATGATTATTATTAAAATATTTTCTTACCTGAATTAAATAAACGAAAAGGTCCATATGATTTTAAATCATTTTGAAGCATTTTTTTTCGACTAATTTGAAAACTAAAATTATAAAATTAAAATAAAAACATCCTAGTAGGACTATTGTTAATTTATTTTTTACCTTTTTTCACCTTTAATAAATTCATCTTTATTAATACGAAAATATAATGAATTATTCTCCGGATCTTTAATAACATTATTTTCTGATGTATCAATTTCATAAGGATGTATACAATGATAGAGTAAAAGTTCGTTTTTTATAGTAACTGATGTAACTCGAATATATATTTGTCGTTTTAGATCACACCATTTCGTTGGAATCTGTAAAAAAAAACTAATGAATATGAAAAATAAAAATGAATATGAAATACTTTAACAGTCGGATATTCATATTTGAGTTGATTATCATCAGCACGAATATAACGTTGAGCTCGATTTTTTGTTCGATCAGTTTCACAAGAATATCTATCACGATAAAATGCTTTTGGTTCAGCTAGAATAAGAAGTTTTTCATCTTCGGATTCCAATTTTGCATGACAAATAATATCTGTACTCGATAATAAACTTTTAGAATTACTATTCATTAAAGTCACTTCAAAATTATTATGGCTTGATAAAGTTGTTTCAAGATTATGACACGAATAAGTATGTTGACATTTATTAGTATCTAAACTATGTTGAAGATTTTCAAATGGAAACATTCCAGAAAGTGTTATTGCTTGTGTTAGAGAATCTAAACTATTATGATAAGATGGACCAATACCAGTTGGTGTAGAACTCTTATCTATATTGTAAAATAGAAAAAAATAAATAAATTTGACAAAGTCATACTTACTCTCATCAAAAATATTTGGTAGACCTAAACAAAACAAAAAAAAAACAAGAAATCAAATAATAAAATATGTTTATTGTTAATTATAATAAAACTTACTGAGCATTTGATTTAGTACTTCAAATGATGGTGAAGGAAGTTCTTCATTAGGATCTAATCAAGAATAAAATGACTACAATTTACTTTTTTATTGAAAAATTTCTTACCATAATTATTTAGATTTGACATTTGATTTATTGTTTAATTATTAATCTGGAAGAATGAAAACAGATAACTTGACTGAAAACTTTTAAATTTTTTATTTATGTCTACACTTCGATGTATCCTCTTTCTACTGAATATATTTCAAGAACTAATATATAACTATAGAAGTCGAAATGATAGAAAATCGTCGTTGAAAAAAAAATCAAAATTTACACATGATTTCACTACTTTTGAAAAATGAGCTATTTTTTAATTAAAAAGAAAGTTGGAGAATTACCAACTTTGCCCAATTACAGTACATTTGATTGAAGTAAAACTTTCTTCAAATTATACTAGAAAATGTTCAGACTGGGTATTTTTTTTTTTCTTTCAAAATACGATATATTGCTGATTTTTGTCAAGGTTTCAAAAACTAAAATTCTAGCTTAAAAATTCCGAGAAAATATGACTTTACAATTGCACTCAAGATTTTGTTGTTTTTATTCGAACGAAATGAGATAAAAAGAAGCCAAACACAAAAAGAAAAGGTAGACAACCCAAGCAAAGTTTATTTCAGTATCTATTTAAAACATTTTACCCCTATTTGACTTATTGTGTCTGAGAACGAAGATAACCATAAGAGTAGATCATTTTTGTTCTCTTGCGCAATTCTAATATCCCTTACAGGAAACCATCGAAAAATTCCCTAGTCTATGATTACTCATCTAAATTTATTAGCCTTGAAGCTTTCAAAATTTTCTTTTGAGTTATTCTTTAAAATTACGAAAAACGGAGGGAAGTGTCCATTGAACATTCCTTTCCTATTTTTTTGTGATAGACGATCTTACATTTAAACATAACTGTATTTAATTTTCACAATTTTCATCTTTTAAACATCAAAAAAAAACTTATCAGACACTCAAAACTCTTACATTTTTGTAAAATATGATTTTTAATTATTAGTCATTAAAACAACGAACAACGTAATAGAAGATCTCTCTGAAATATTTGTTCTCTAGGCCGTAATAGAAGACAGAAGGTCTTCTATTATATTCGAAGGTTAATGGCATTTTCAAATGCGTGATGATTTAAAAGATACTTTACAACTGACAGAAAGAAAATAAAAATAAAAAACAAAAAAAGTCACTATTAAATCAATTAAATGAAAAACATTTCGTTGGAAGAAAAAAAGGCTTTTAGTACATATTAAATAAGAAAAACTTAAGAGAAGGAAATTTCATCGACTAACATGTTTTTATTTTCGAAGGCAATAACACTTTTGTAAAAAGAAATTTTTTTTTCTTTTCATCAGCTGCTTGTTTTTATAATCTGTTTTCATAAATACGCAATTTTATTATGATGTAAGAAGATTCTTTTATTTAAATACTAGACGAATCACACTTCATCGTGTTTATTTCATATAATGCAAACTTATGCAACAACCTTTTTCTGTTTATCACTGATTTGTACATCGATAATCAGTCCCGAAGAAGTTGGCAAAATAACTGATTATGATTCATAAGCATATTTGCTCGAAAAAATTACACATTCAAGACATTATTGGGTTTCTTTTTTCATTCCTATGAATCAAAAAAAAATAAATAAATGGAAGTTTCCATCATCAATATGATTTATTATTGGCATTTTCCAATTAATCAGATCTTTATATAATAGAATAATATGTTAATTTCTTATATATTAAGTAAATCAAGAAGCTATATTTATTCTCTAATTTTGCAAATAAAATATGAAAAGTTTATGTCTTTTCTTTAACATTTGATAATACATATCACAGATAGAATGGGTTCGAACTTTTTTAAAAAGTTAAGTCGATGCGGTTCGGTTTCAAAAAAATATATGAACCAATCTCATTTTTGATACATATTAGACAGTGCCATAGTTATTCTATTTGATTGACTATAGATAACTTATAAACAAATTCTGCATAATTTTATAAAATAGAATTGTTAGTCATATATTCCATGCATGGGCTTCGTAGTATGAAAGATATCGATTTCATTAGTGATTACAATATATTTGTATTGAATTAAAGATAGTGTATGCCTGGATAGGATGAAAAGAAGTACTTGAGTTTTTATAACCTTCATACAAACTAATACATTTATCGTACTTTTGACTGACAGAATAAGCAACTACGTCATTTAGTAACATAATGATAGACAGCGTCCTGTGATATATGCTAAATATACAGACGTCGTATATGCAGACGATCAGGCAAATTATTCATATAGAATGCATAAACAATTATAGATATGTAGAAAGAAATAGTGTTACCATAATGGTAAGATTCAAAAGAGCATAAGGAAAATAAGTTGTTATATTAATAAATCAATAATGTCTATCTCGATTAAGTTTATGATAACTTATGTTTATGCCATGTATCTTTTCTCATATGAAAACATTTTAGAAAATCTTTTATAGCATAAATACGCAATATATCTGTCGTAGAAATGTAATGCTTATCAACATATATATATATATATTACGTACTTTAAAGTCTAGTGTAAAAGTTTGATACGTATATTTCATAAATTATAAACATTAATTATGAACAATAAATTTATTTATTAATTGTAAACTTTTTTAATGAACACAAATATCAACGAATACATGTATTTTTGACAATATATAAATGATTACATTATAACTAGCTTATGTTGTTTTTTTTTTGTTAATCGTGTCTCCTTATCAAATAACAAGGATAAGGTTTTTGATTATTCAATCCACATATCGAATAATCGTTGTTCTAGATACTGTTATAGTTTATATATGTCCAAGAGATATATGACAAATTAAAAGATTAGAATGTATTGAATATATTCTGAGTAATACCAGCTGATAATATGCAAAATCTTCAACATTCAAAAACAAGTTTTTATCAAAATAACATTTAATATCAGTTATACTATTTCCTTTTATATAATAGAAAAAAATCGATCAAATGAAATATTAAGATTAATTCGATTATCTATACTACATAGTATCAATATAAAATAATATGACAAGTATAATCACTCAATATTTTCAACAATAACTTTTAAATTAGTAGTTAAACGTTGTTATGATGCATATTTCAGTTGAATTCACCATGACAATAAATCCAAAAAAAAATATTATTTTGCCCTCGTCAAAAAATAGTTTGAATTGTTTGTTGCACTTTGAAATTTAACTCTAGAATGTCAACACATGAATTACGTCGAAAAAAAAAAACTATTTCTCAAATAAAAATAATATAACATAAATTTCCCTTTATAATACCATTGCATATTAAATTATGAGCGTATATGTAAGAAAACCTAAGATAGAAGTAGAATGATTAATTAAATGCAAAAATTTCAACATTATGTAAATACAAAAATATTTAAAATATTTTCTGAATTTTATATTTATTTTAAGATTTTGAAGATGTTTTCATATAATTTAAATTCAATAGTGAATCATCGTTGGTTTTTTTTTTGGTAAAAACAAAAATCCCGATTTCTCAAATGCAGTGTGTCAATTATATATCAGAATTCTATAAATAAAAGTCGACAGATTAAATCATCATTTACGAAAATATTTGATTCAAAATACTGATTATTCACGAACTTTATCAACTGCCTCGACAGTTTTATGACATATGACATTTCTATTGTCAATATTTACCATTATGAATCATCGAAAATAATAAATAAATTATACGAAACTGTTGGATATATACTAATATAGACAATCATTTTGGTTTTTTCTTTATATATTATTGCTCAATTACTATAGACAGATGTTTTTTTGAATACATTTATTCATTCTTAGAATTATCAGTAGACTTCAAGGATTATGATTACAGGCCTAGATAAATATCTTTGTCAGAACCATAATGAATGGTCCATAAATCATCGTACTCTTAGCATTGCCAAAATTTCTTCTCTATGTGTTTTTTGCTTGATTGAAATATCGTTCTTTTTATATAAAAAGATAGAGTTTAAAATTCTTTACAAAACCATACATGATAAAATCCAAAACATTGTTATTGATATATTTGAAAAAAACAAGATGAAAAGTAAGGATATGAACATTGTGATGAGTCCGCAAAAATTTATCAAGATCTAGGTGGAATAATTTCAAAGCAAATAATTAATTTATGGCTAAAAATGATCAACAACACTGACTCTATCAATTTATTTCACGATCTGGATTGTTCATGTGCAGTTCAAAGAAAAATGAATTTCTCAAAACTGAAATGGTGTCAATACTTTTCAAAAAACGGATATAAACAAGAAAACTGTCTATTGAAACGAGGCTCATACCGTTGCTACTGCATGAAAATCTTGACTATTTCATCTAACAGAAGGTCAAAGAATCAACTGTGATTGATCTACACAAAAAAACAGAAGGCTAATTTTTCAAAATGAAAGTTAGTAGAATGTTTCTAAAGTTTATACACATTACCTCAGTGAAAAATGGTGTACAGACCATTTTTTGTGCATTTGTATCGAAGAAGTATAAAGCACTAAATTTATCTAATTTAAATCCGTTTATGAAATAAACTGACTGATACTATGAGATACGATCATAAGACAATATTGATAGACGAAATAAAATGTTTTGTCAAAAATGTTGAAAAAAGAAAAAAAATATTTACATTTGGTACTTGATTTCACTGTATGATTACATTTGCTCCAGAAATATGGAGGAAACTATATTCGTTAAATAAAATATGCTACTATTTCAAGTGTTATCTTTTGATTAAGAAAAAAAAACCAATATTTCAATCAAGCAAAAAATCGATAAGAAGTTTTGAAAATACCAAGAGTATAATTATTTATTTAAAAAAATGGATAAAAACAACTAAATTGTATTAAATAAATGCTCACTTTTGAGAATTCATATTTCAAACAATCATAATTTTTCGATAAAATTTTCTTGTAAAATAATGATCGACATTGCATATCCAATGACATCGACAATTACAATCCAAAATCAAAATCTTTAACAATTTGGAATACTATCTTTCTTCATGCAATTCATCTTAATACATGCATCTG